TCGATTCAAGCTGATGTGGGTATTGGGGTCAATCTCGCTGACCATGCGACGGCCTCGGGGATAGCTTTGTCCACCGGGCAGTACACCTGCATCAAAGCGACAACTCTCTGCTTCGAGGCTGAGCAGCAGTTTAAGCCCCAAGCCCCTCAAAGTCCAGAAACCTCGAAATCTCCAGATGCCACTTTTCCTCAAGCCCCCCAACAAAAAAAAAAAACCTTTTCAGCACGCACCGAGGTCCCGGCCAGCGCCCATGCAACCCTCACCCCGTCTTAAGGCAAAAGCGCGCAGGAAGAGCTGTTGATGACAACTGACGGAAGCTAAGACTGAAGATCCCTTGACAGCCAACTACTGCACCATCTGTTCCAGAATTGAATAAACCCTAAACCCCAAACCCCAAAAGGCTCAGCTGAACTGCCAGGGGTTTAGGGTTTAGGGTTTAGGGTTTAGGAATTAGGGTTTAGGGTTTAGGGTTTAGGGTTTAGGGTTTAGGGCTCTCTGAAGACTCTCAGAAACGCCGGAGCCGACCTGGTTCTGCTGATGCTCATCACTCCGAATGAGATCGCAGTCCTTTTCAGACTCACGGGTCTTAGGGTTGAGGGTTCGGTTTAGGGTTTAGGGTTTAGTGTTCAGGGTTTCGGGTTCAGGGTTCAAGGTTTATGGTTTAGGGTTCAGGGTTTAGGGTTTCAGGTAGGTTGGGGATTTGTGGCTTTGGGGCCTGGGGCTTTGGGTTAAGGCTGAGGGCGCCTACCGCTCTGCAGGCTTCAGGTTCAAAATAAAGGCCTTAATAAATAGAATAGAACCCCTAAAACTTTAAAGATAATAAATATTATTGAGGCCCCTATAATAGGGGCATCACAGTTTGGGGTTTTGGGGTTTTGCATCTGCCCGGCTTGCGACTCCCGTGCTTTTTAGGCGCAAGACTCTTCTTGTTCGTCTTCCTCGGTCGCAGCCCCAGTCTTTCTGTCACCGTCGTCGCTACGGCAGCAGCTGGGATTCCTATCACTATTGGAGCCGAAGGTGGTCTCTTCTTGCTAAGAACTAGGCTATGCTTCTGGGTTTAGAGTTTCGGGTTGGGGGTTTAGGGTCTAAGCTTTGTGTGGGAGTGATACAGTACATGAGACGCCGTGCAACTCCAACGAAGCAGCACCGGTGCATCGTAGACTCCATCCACGACGGGGCCTTAATCATCAGAATAGGCTTTTGGGCCTGTTCATGGTATAGCCAAAGAAGGAACCCCAAGCAATGATATTTGTAATGATCTAGGCTTCTACATTGTACATAACCACTGCTACTACACCCACCCGGAAAAACAGAGTCGCCGAGCTTGGGCAGAACGTCGAAAAGGCTGCCCACAAATCCTCTGTCCCCCTATAGGCCCTACTTGGAAACCCAATCTCCCCTCAAAATCCCTAAACCCTAAACCCTAAACCCCTAAACCCTAAACCCCTAAACCCTAAACCCTACACACCTAAACCCCTAAACCCCTAAATCCCTAAACCCTAAACCCTAAACCCTAAACCCCTAAACCCTAAACCCCCCACCCTCACCCGCAAGTCCTTGAAAAACCCCAAACCCTAAACCTTAAACCCCAGAACCCGAGGGCTCCTTCCACAGCCTCATGCACGCTGCCCCCAGATCTTCCGGCAAGAGGCCGGTCCTGCCATTGGGGTTTTGGGTTTAGGGTTTAGGGGTTTAGGGGTTTAGGGTTTAGGGTTTAGGGCTTAGGGTTTAGGGTTTAGGGCTTAGGGTTTGCGGCTTAGAGTTTCGGGTTTCGGCCGGAGACTCCAAAACCTCACTCACTAGGTCTCACTAGGTTTGGGGCTTAAGGTGTAGGGCTTCGGGTATGGGGCTTTGGGGTCTAGCATTGAGCGTGTGGGGTTTAGGGTTTAGGGTCTGGGATTGGGGAGCATCACTTGCCTGCTATCCTTTAAGAATATACCAGCACTAACCATCCGATTTTTGTGGAGGGAAAGTCTCTCACTTAGGGTCCGAGTGCAAAGTGCTGCTGCCAGGGAGTTGGGCTTACGGGTTGGGGCTTAATCCAGGGGCCTAAACAATTACCAAGACTATTCTGAGGTTCCTTATCATAAATATAGCAGAAAGCCCCAAACCCTCTTCTAAGTATTTATTAAGCCCCAACCGGGGCCCCAACCATTATGTTAATTATGTTGTACCCTAAACCCTAAACCCTAAACCCTAAACCCTAAACCCTAAACCCTAAACCCTAAACCCCTAAACCCTACAGTAAACCCTAAACCCTACACCCTATCTTAATCCTCGCGGCCCATGTTTTGAGGTGCAAGGTTCCTAGGCGCACATTTTAAGACGATAGGACGTCGGGCCGAAGCGAGAACAGTGGGATATTTTCTGTCCTGGTTTGAAAACAGGGTTCAGGGTTTAGGGTTTAGAGTTTAGGGGTTTAGGGGTTTAGGGTTTAGGGTTTAGGGTTCAGGGTTTAGGGTTTTTTTTGACCGGACCTTTTTCCTCGTTTAGGGTTCAGGGTTTAGGGTTTTTTTGACCGGACCTTTTTCCTCGTTGAGGGTTCAGGGTTTAGGGTTTAGGCTTTAGGGTTTTGAGCTTAATTATGTGTGTGGGTGTGTGGGGTTTGTGTGACGGCAAACATCGACGATCTCTTTGCTTCAAGTCCACGTAGGCAAACCACTTCGTGGTATGCGCCCAGGCTCGCTGACTTTGCTAACAACTGACTGGGCAACAGGTACCGGTCAGCTGAATTAAACTAACTACTAGCTCACTTGGCTCACGGCTAACGGTGGGTCTCGCCCGAAGCCGGCATATCTAAGACCTGCCGATGTGGTGGAGCTCAAATTGAGTGAACTCTGCAACCACGTCTACTTCGCAAGCCCATGTCTCAGGGCTCGAGAGGAAGCTTGCATATGGAGCATCGCGCCTGCGGGCAAGGGCGACACTCCCGTCACAACCCTAGAAACCTCGAGTTCTACATAGAGCCGTTCCGACGGTGTAGGGATGTCGTCTCTGCAGAAGGGGGACGCAAAACGGAAACACTTCAAGCAGCCAAGCCATGACTCAGGTTCAGCTATCATCCCTTCTGTAGCCACTTCTGGGGGCACCTAACATCAACATTCATGACTCATCTGGCGCTCAGCAAAGGACGGGAGAATGGTCCGACAGTGGCCTCGCATAATCAACCATTGCAGCCGGTCTCCAATTCCTAATCACTAAACACCGTAAAGGAGCCCCTTTAAGGAACCCTCAAAGGAACCCTTATAGGCCCGAAGTCAGCACCAAACAGTGACTCCCAACCACCAGCCAGATGCCTGCCCCGCTCGGCACGCGCATGATGGCCTCCGCCGTAGGGGACCCCGAGCCTCGAGGACCAGCGCTGCTTTTAGGGTTAAGGGTGTAGGGTTTAGGCTG